AAGCAGAACAGAAACTGACTCTTAGATACAGAGAACATTTTGACAGTTGCCAGATGGGAGATGGGGTTAGAGGGATGGGTAAAAAAAGTGAATAGATTAAGAAGTACAAATTGGTAGTTATAGAATAGTCATGGGAATGCAAAGTACAGCATTGGGAATATAGTCAATAATATACCAATAACAATGTATAGTGTCAGGTGGGTGGGAGACTTACTGGGGTGATCACTTTGTAAGTTATATAATGTCTAATCACTGGAATGTACACCTGAAGTGAATATAATATTCTATTTCAACTTTAATTGAAAAATAAAAAATGATTTACAAATAAATAAATAAGTAGGTCCAATCTTGTCATTTTTCCATCCTGAATTCTATAATGGCTTCCCTTCCCATTCAGAAAAATTCAAAATTCCCACCACAGTTTACAAGGTTCTACAGAATCCTGCCTCCAGCTATCTCTGAGACCTCATTTCATACTATGTTTTGTGTTTTTTTTAATCCCTGTTCCTTTCATAAGTTAAGTTCCTTCTCATCTTAAAACTTTTAAATAACCCTTACTTAGCCTGAGTAGTGAAGTAGTGGCTTGGCATAGCTAGCTCCTCCTTTTCACTGAGCTCTCTCTTAAAATGCTACCTCTGACCTTCTCTGCCTTCCCAATCTAAAGGAACTTCTCAGTCTAATCCCATCATATTGCCCTATTTAACATTGCCAAACAAACTTCTTGATTGTATATCTGTATAGCTATTTCATTAATTCATTCAACAAAATAGTTGTTGAACACCTACCACCCAAGTACTATGTTAGGTATTCATTTATTCAACACTTAGCAACTTCTTACTGAACACTTCCTGTGTGCCATGCCCTGTTCTAGGAACTGGCGAGATAGTGATCAACAAGTTAGGTGAACAGGTTTTTGTTCTCACAGAGCTGATAATTTTAGTGAGAGAACAAATAAATGAACAGGTAAGGGGAGCAGAACAGGGATGAGAAATAACTTAGAGCAAATTTGGACCAGAATAAGAATGAGAAATAATTTTGAGCAAATTCAGAAATCAAGTCATAATAGACATATCTACATATCAACTGATAGGACTGGGGAAGCCCATTATTTCAATGAAACAAAATAAAACTGAGACGATACTATTAATTTTTTTAAAAAGTTAAAAACCTGTATTTCTAAACAAGATCTTCCCATCAGTGTGTTTGGAAGCCAAGGAGTCTAAGAATTAACCATCAGATTTTCTCCATAAACTGCTGTTTTCACTTTATAATCTGTATATTATCAAAGTTACTGAATTGTTAAGATAAAATTTCCTTAAAATAATAAAATGATTAAAGACTGAAGATGCAGAAAAAGAACCTGAAGACTAATATCTCAAAAGCATGCATTTATATGAAGGTTTTTAAACCTTGATACAGTTCATATTAAATATTAAACTAAGCAATTAATAGCATATTGTTTTCTAAATAACCTTTAGTGGAGAATTTTTACTACCTTTAAGCACTTCTGAATTTCAGCACTTAGGAAATCTATGTATGGAAGGCTGGAAAAACAATTTGTGCTTTTAAACTTCTAGTAAAAATCTGGAGGAAATATTTTATAGTTCTACATATAAACTGCTATACTTTACACAGAAAATGCATTTTGTCCTGATAATAAAAGTTGTGTTCATTTGGTAGAATTCTGAGAAATATTTATGATATGAATGTTTTTAAAGAGTAAAATCTCAGAATCATTTAAATGTATACCATTGAACCAAGAGGCCAGAGAATGGGGCCTACAGAAAAAATAAAGGCCCAAATAATTTTATGCTTAGTTTGACCACTAATTATGAAACCTTATTCAATTCTCTGGGCCTTGGTTTCTATATCTGTAAAAAGGATATAGTGACTACTTAATAAAACCCACAGAATTTCACATATACATAAAATCACATGGTACAAACTAAACTACCAAGCAAAACAGAGACAGACTCATAGATAGAGAGCAAGTAGACAGCTCTGGGGTGGGGTGGGTGTGTGGGGTGGGGTGGAGGAGGGCATAGAGGGGATAAATGGTTATGGAAAAAATAAAATAAAAATTAATAAATAGCCCTGGCCAGTTTGGCTCAGCGGTTAGAGCATCGGCCTGTGGACCAAGGAGTCTTGGGTTGGATTCTGGTCAAGGGCATGTACCTCGGTTGTGGTTTGGTCCCCAGCCCTGGTCAGGGTCATGCTGGAGGCAGCCAATCAATGTGTCTCTCTCACATTGATGTTTCTCTCTCTCTCTCTCTCTCTCTCTCTCTCTCTCTCTTTCTCTCCCTGCTTCTCTCCCTCCCACTCTGTCTGAAGATAAGTGAAAAAATATCCTCGAGTGAGGATTAAAAAAACAAATAAATGAAGAAAAATAATGAAACTTACAGAATTTGATATGTGTGAGGGTAAACTGATATATTTTTATGTTAACCTGCTTTGAAAATTTAAGATTATATACATGAAAATGGGGCATGCCCTAATCAGTACATGAGAGATACAGCCTGTTCTCAAAGAAGTGCACAGTTCCTTAATTTTCTCCTCTCTAAACCACAAAGACAGGCTGCATCAGCTGTAACTACCACCTGTGTCATTTTTCACTCTGCTTGTTGGCTGCACCCTGGGAAAGTGGCTCACTCAAAGAACACTTTGAAAACCACTGCATCCCTCTCCATCTCCAACTCTCCCTACTGCCAAGCCAGATCAGAACTCTCAGAAGATGCACTGGAATATATGTGTTTGTCTTCCTTACACTGTCCTTTGTGTCCCCCGGTACATACTCTTCATGTGGTTGGTGCTTCACAGGTGATGGGTGTATTTCTTACATTCTATTTTCATTGTGTCATATTTTCATTTTAATAAAGCTCTATTGGAGTCAAGTTAAAATCTGTAGAATAGGTGACATAATATAAAAATTCTAAATTTAAAAAGCACCTTCATATGTGTTTAAATGTATTTTTTTGCAATAATTTTAGATTAGAAGACCTTTCGAAGCTTCTATAGTTTTAAAAGTAAAAACCAAACTATGGAGTTAACTTTTTCTGCATGGAAGTACAACTGGAATGCTCTATCCTCAGATCTCATGATGGACTCCTTGTCATTTTGGTCTCAGTTTACATGTTACATTCTCTAAGGAGTTTTCCCTGTGTACCCAGTGTGGACATTCCAACTCAATACATTATGGATGACACTCGCCACTCTTGGCCTTTTTCTGTTCATTTATTTCTTGCATATTATCTGTCATCTAGATAGGCTGCATAAGAGCGGAGACCTGGTCCTAAAGTCTAGGACCAGAGTATCTTGCAAATTTCTCTGTATTAGCCCCTAGGCCAATGCCTGGCACATGGGACTCTTGTTAAAACTGATCCTTTACCAATGTTAGGATTCATTTGTAATCCCACCTGCTTCTATTCCTCACAACTGTACACTGTAGGTATCATTCCCAATGTATAGATGAAGAAAGACTCAAGGAGGCTTACATCATAGCTGAGAAGACTGTCCCATGCCAAAGCCTAATGTCTTCCCACCACTATTGACGTGGATTCTGAGTCTTTCCCACCAGTCTCCCACACAATTAATTACCACAATTAATCACAGGTATTAAGCACCAAGCTTGAATATTTCTTGTTGGAATTAAATGTAATAGCAAACAGGAAAAACATCAGGAAGTTCAAACAAACTGGTGTAACTCACACACCCTCCTTACAGATTCTTGGGTAAACAAGGGTGGATGGGTTAGTAACAGCCTAACTCACTGAATTAGGAATTATTTCGACAAAGGTCCCACAACCTTACTATCTAGGAAATCTAGATCCAGCTGCCTTAGTAACCACTTCCAAAATCTCAGCTTTTGAAGAGTTTGTGAATTGTACAGGCATTTTCTCTTTGTGTCCCTTTTCTATCTCGCCATAGTTTTTGACTTTTGACTAGTTCACTGCCTAAAACACACACACACACACACACACCACAAAACAAAACAAAACTCTCAACTTCAAGGAATAAACTGGAGGGACCAAGAGGAGAGAAAACCAGGGAAGTTGCCAGCAACTTTGGAAAAGGTATATAGTTATTGTCACGCCCCTCACTGTCCTCTCCGTCTTTATATCCTCATCAAATAAATTAAAAATTGCCTTTGTCTTTGTAACTGAAAACTGTCACAGTTTTCCGTTGATAGCACCCTTCCTGTCATCCACCACACCTAGTATCCCTTCTCCGGTTCCTTCTATTCGGGCTCACAGGCTCCTGGAGACAGCAGGAAGCCTGCGGTGTTGCAAATACCCGCGGTCAAGTGTGTGTGTGCGTAGGGGTCTTAGGGGCTGAAACCTCAGCCCAGTAAGCAGTGACACACCTACAGATGACTGCGCCCCGTCCCCCTCTCCTCTTCCGTCGGGCTCTCGCTTTAAGCAGCCAAGAAGTGACTACACTACGAGTCAGACGTGAAACTTGCGGGGTAGGGGACGTTCTCATCTCGAAGAAAGAGAGACGTGGGCGGCCCAGGCGGGCCCAGCGCTCCCCCGCGGTGCAGGGCGCCTGACCTTCCACAGAGTCTGACTCCCAGGGCGCAGCTCGGGACTCTGGCCGGTCCCGGGGCACGCCCTCTGCCCACTGGGTGGTGGCGACTGCGTACTCTGGAAGCGAGTCTGAGTCAGTGGAAGCGCCTTTCTCGGACGAGACAGACTCGGGAGTCTTCCCACAGCATCCCGACTTTCTCCGGCAGAGACTCAGCACATGTAATTTACATGGATCTGCCTTCCGGGCCAGAGTGCGCGCCACGTATTTCTTGTTCCACGGAGGCTTTCCCACAGAGGCTGGCATCTTGTGGGCACCAATAAATAGTTGTTGCCTGGCTGAATGACTGAATGAATAAATGCGTGATGAATGCGTTCTAGAGTAGGTGTCTCCCGCTCTCGTCTCCGACAAGTAACCAGGACAGCCCACCCGATCTCAGCGCCACCCAGATGGTCCCCCGGCTCGGGTCAGACACTCACCTTCTCGGCAGGGCTCTCCGGGCGGCAGCCTCACCTCTCCCCCCATGGCCCTCAGACAGGGCTTCCCGGGGCGGGCGCTCCCTCCTCACCCACCTGGGCTTCTCCTTCGCAAGAACCGGTGTTGCCGCGGAGCAGCGCGGTCTCAGACCTGTGTGCGCTGACCCCGCCCCCCGGCGGCCTCAGCCAATGAGGGAGGCCTCCGCTCGAGGCACGCCCCCGATCGCTGGGAAGGCGGCGTTGGCGTTCTTGGTCTCCTGTGTGACGGGCAGGGTCGCCAACTACCTCCTCTGACGGCCGCTGGACGCAGGGAAGCACAGACACACCTCGCAGGTTAAAGGCGTCTCTCGGAGCTCGGACGCCGCGGAGCCAATTCTCGGGGAATTTATGGAACATGGGCGGTGGTGAAGTCCCCTTCGGGGTCGCCCGTATCGAAGGGTCTCCTGCAGCTGGATTCTGAGCGCTCTGCCGCTTGTGTTAGCGGCTTTGGGTGGAAGTTGCTGGCCGCTGGGATTCTGCTCTGCTTACCACGCTCGAGTTTGTTATGGGTGCTTAGAACTGCTTCTTCCGAGGCCCTTCAGCTTCGACCTCGCAACCCTCCACCCCCCTTTTCCTTAGTCATATAGTTATTTGCAATAAATCCTGAAAGAAAGGCAGTGCTGAAATGGACGCGACTTATTCCTACAAAATAATAACAGTTCACATTTATGATATTCTTATTTTACCATACACATGTAGGCACTTTCTATGTATTAATTCATTATATCTCACAACATAGTCTGTTAACCCCTAGTTTACAGATGAGGGATCAGAGGCAGAAAGTGAGGTTAAGTAACTGAACTAACTAGTCAATGGAAGGTTTCGTAGCAGGTCATTATGCAACATGAATGGGTACAATTCTCGCTGAAACCCTCACCTCAGAAATGGGGTACTTTTGTGCTCTGGATTTCACTGAGGGAAACACTGTCTGCTCACCTTGTCTTTGCCCTAGGTAGTCGTGAACAGTGCTATTAACTTTATTACCTAAGAGTTTCATAGCAGAGGCCCCAGTCTTGCTTTTCCTGTTCTTCAGCTGATGAGAGAAGAGTTAACAATCAGTCAACATAATACAAGGCACAAACGTCCACATGTGGATGACTGGCGGAGAAGGAAAGCATGGGAAGGAGAATAGGTGAAGGAGACTGGGAGGGAGGGAGATTTATGCCAAATTTAGATAACCAGCCTTAAAACTTATATTTCTCGTTAAACGTTTTATTTGGACATCAGATTCGAAAGTTTTACATTTATCAAAGATTGGTGATAATAGTAAATGTGATTTAAGGTAGTATTTATTAATTATATATTCAACCAACACTTAAATGCCATTTATGTGGGCAAACACTATTCTAAACACTTTACAAATATTTGCTTTTTTTAAAAAAAAAAAATCCTCACCCGAGGATATTTTTCCATTGATTTTTATTAGATAGAGTGGGAGGAAGGAAGGGGGAGAGAGAGAGAGAGAAACATCAATGTCCATTGGTTGCCTCCTGCAGAACTCAGAAGTGTGTGTGTGTGTATGTGGGGGGTTGGGGGGGGTGGAGGTAGGGGAGGGGATTGAACCCAAACTGAGGTATATGCCCTTGACTGGAAATCCAACCTTTGATTCTTTGGTCCTCCGGCTGATGCACAAACCAATGAGCCAAACAGACCAGGGCTAGAAATACTTGCTTTTAAAATAATCATTATAGATGCTATTATTAATCCCCCCTTTACAGATAGGAAAGGGAGGCAGACAGAGTTAAGTAACTTGCCTATGGACACTTAGCTAGTAAGTGGTGGAGCTGGGATGCTAACTAAGGAAGTCTGGCTTCAGAGTCTGTGCTCTTAACCCATTTGCTAATTGGATATTCGAAAAACTAAATAAAAATGTAATTTTGAGATGATTTAAAAAAAATAAAAATCGAATTCCAATTTCTTAGGAAAGTCTATTTTAAGTAGGAGGCACTTTGTTGTAATTCTTGTGTTTTTGATTCTAGAAATAAAGAGAAAAACACAGAAAAAAATAAGCTTATTTAAGATCACTGTTTTCCCAGTTTAAATGTTGCTTATCAGAACTTTACAATGTATTTTCCTTCACTCCCTGTTTGTAGATGACTTTGGATATTATGCCTTTATAGTACCACAGACAGTCATGAGTGACATTAATTTTGGAGATTTTTATTCCTAATAGAAAGCAAGGTTTTATTTAACTAAAAGAAGAATATTTTTTAAAATATCCAACTAACCCACCTACAACTCTGGCAATATTTCTTTCTGACCCAAAATTTAGGATGCAATAATAAGTGAGATTCTAAATCGTCAGCTCCTCTTTTATTGGTCTAGACCCAGTAATGATGGCCAAAATAGTGAGCATTCAGTAGTAGAACCTTAAGGCGTTTGATCAGTGCATGGATCTGAGAGGGTCTCTATTGTGTGAGGCTTAACCCTTCAGATGGTAGACTGTGGAGAGGTATAAGGTTCCTGGGGCAAAGATGGGGTGACTAGGCAGGAGGGGGTGGTCACTGGGGAGACTATTTGCAGAAGTTATAGTCCTGCCATCATTGTACCAAGTCTACTAGTGGGAATTTGTGATTCATTATTTTTTTTTCTCAATCAGTCTAGATAGGAGGTTATCAATTTAATTAATTTTTCCAGAACCATTTCTTACCTCTATCGATTTTCTTTACTATTTTAAATTTTTTTCATTGACTTCTGCTGCTATTTTTATTATTTTCCCTCTTCTATATTGAGTTTAACTTGCTTTTCTTCTTCTAGCTTCTATGGTAGAAACATAGATAATTTATTTTAAACCTGTGTTCCTTCTAATACAAGCATTTTAAAGCTAAATTTGCCTTCGAATACTGCTCTATCTACCACAAATTTTGAGATGTTGTGTTCTTTTTTAAATTTAATATAATTTTTTATTGTTGACAGTATTACAGATCTCTCCCGTTTTCTCCCTTTTTGCCCTTCTCCTCCCCACCCCCACCCCACCTCAGGTCTTCCCCATGTTATTGTCTGTATCCATGGGTTATGCATATATGTTCTTTGGTTACTTTCTTCCTGTCCTCTCACACCACCCCCACCTTTTGTTAACAGTATGTTTTTATTGATTTTTTTTTTTTTAGAGAGGGAAACATCGCTATGAAAAAGACAAATCAATTGGCCGCCTCCTGTGCGCCCCCCACTGGGGACTGAGCCTGCAACCTGGGCATATGCCCTGACCAGGAATCAAACTGGGACCTGTCGGTCCTTAGGAGGATACTCGGTCCACTGGGCCACCGGTGGGAACCAGCCCCACCTTTGAGATCTGTTATTCTGTTTCATGTATCCATACCTCTGGACCTATTTCATTCATCAGTTTATTTTGTTTATTAGATTCCACATATAAGTGAAATCATGTGATACTTGTCTATTTCTAACTGGCTTATTTCATTTAGCATAACAGTCTTCAGGTCCATCCATGTTATCTCAAAGAGTAAAAGTTCCTTCTTTTTTGCATCCACATAGTGTTCAAAATATTTTGAAATTTTCTTTATGATTTCTTTTTTGACCCATGGGCAATTTGGGAGTGTGTTGCTTGATTTCTAAATAGTTGGGAAGTTTTTCAGATATCCTTCTGTTATTGACTTCTAATTTAATTTTGTTTTGGACATAGAACATATTCTGTATAATAATAGTCCTTTGAAATTCATTGAGATCTGGTTTATGGTCTATGTTAATGACTGTTCCAAGTGAAATTGAAAACAATGTGTATTCTGCAGTTGTTAGACATAGTGTTTTATATATATCAATTAGGTTGAATTGCTTGCTCAAAATCTAGTTTATTACTGATTTTTAAATTTGTTTTATCAATTACTGAGAAAGAAGTGTTAAAATCACCTGTAATTGTGAGTTTGTCTATAAATTTAGTTCTGTTAGTTTTGCTTCATTAATTTTTAAAGCTTTGTCATTAGGTGCATATACATGTAGGACTGTTATGTCTCCTGGGTGAATTGACACTTTTATCATTATTAAACGTTCCTATTTATTTCTAGTAAGACTTTTTTTTATTTGATTGTACTTTGATATTAATACAGCTCAACCAGATGTTTTATTATGTTTACATGTTACACATTTTTCTGCTCTTTAACCTCTAACTTATCTTTATATTTAAAACTTATTTCTTGTAAATAACATAAAGATGCAATTCAATTTTTTAAAATTCTCACCTGAGGATATGTTCATTGATTTTTAGAGAGGGAGGAAGGGAAAGAGAGGGAGAGACATCAACATGAGAGAGAAACATTGATCAGTTTCCTCTGGCATACCCCCTGACCAGGGATTGAACCTGCAAATTTTTGGCATGTGGGATGAGGCATATGAGCCACCCAGCCAGGGCTGCACTTTACTTTTTTAACCAAGCTGTCAGCCTCTGATTTTATTAGCCTGTTTAGTGTGCATATATGTTTTGTAAACATTGATGTAGTCAGATTAAATTCTGAAAAAGTTCCTTTTACATTTCTCACAGTGTGCATTTGCTAGCAATAGGTCTTCTCCATTTTGTTTGTCTGAAAAAAAAAAAAAAGTCCTTATTTTGTCTTTGTTTTTGAAAACTATTTTTTTTTTGGCAAAGAAATATAGGTCGACCGCATTTTCTTTTGGCACTTTAAAAACATTGATATATTTTCTTTGTTTTTTGGCTTACATTGTTCCTAGTAAAAAGCTGTTACTATTCAGTTGTGTGTTTTTCCCCCATGGTGTGTAATGTGCCTATTTCCCCCATCTGGCTATTACATTTTTTTCCCAGTTATTTTGAGTAATTGGACTTTTATTTGCATTGGTGTGATTGTCTTTGTATTTATTTTGGGTTCATTTGAAATTTTTGAATATGTGGGTTTATCCTTTACATAAATGTAGGATATTATTGAATGTTATTTCTTCAAATATTTCTTTCTACCTCCTCCCTTCTAAGACACCGAATACTCATATGTTGAACTGCTTAATATAGTCTCATGAGTCACTAAGGCTCTGATGCTTTATTTCTTGCTTCAGTTTGCATAGCTTTGATTGCTATGTCTTCAAGTTTACTGACCATATCTTCTGTA